GTTCATGGCATTATGTATTGCAATTGCAAATGAATTGAGCACATGTATGTGTTTTTGTTTTTACCATTTGGCGCAAGAGGGCGCTGCTAATAAGAAAACTGAGCGAAGGGTAGCGAACGTCACGTGCAAAATAGCAGACAGCAGTTTAAAAGTTTTTGAAGGTTCAATTTTTTAGCTTTTTGGTTTTCTGTTACCAGAGATACAGGTTATGTTTTTCTGTAATGGCTGGGCAGACCAAAAGTGGACATCCGCTTTTCTTTTGTCAGAGCAGCAGAAAATTAGATCCAAACAATTAATTTGCGTCTGGGTGATGTAAATTCAATATTAGATCCAAACAAGGCAATTATTGCCATCAAACACGTACTGCAAATCCACCGGTTCACACAAACAGCAATACGTACGCCGATTTATTTGTCCCCGAAGAAAGACTGAATTTAAGAACAAAAATGGGAAACTTCACCCTTTGCATGCCAACAAATCAATACTACTCTCATCACGGTGGAGGTTTGGGTTTTCTGGAAGATAAACTAAAAGTAGCTACAAGTAGGCCTACTCCTCCCAAAAATCGAGGATTTCAACAAAATGGGGAAAGTTGAAATATATTTTCAGGTTTCAGAAAACAGAAAGGCAGAAGACTACATTTAATTCGTATTACGTTTGGTCTTAACAGCCAAAAACAAACAATACAATCATTTACCTGAATTGCTAAAAAGAATATATTGACCTTATTTAAATGCAATAAGCCATAATTGTATAAATAATAGTACCCCTCAACCAACAATAGTGGGTATGATGATGAGACGAAATATTAAAAGGGAGCGAAAGTTCATTAAACAATTAACAGGTGGAGAGTCCCACAGCTGATCTGCTTACATTAATGGTTGCGTATATTGGAGGTAAACAAGCTCTTGAAAATTTCTTTGATAAAAGTCAAATACAAGCCCAAGAAGTGATTGGACAGTGCTAGAATCATTCATAAGATGGATTTTTGAGTCGGGGTGATGTAAATCAATATTAGGTTTTGCCCGTCACGGACGTATAAACACTGTTTATTCAGTGTGTTACCTCCCGAGTGAAAGTTGGAAAAAAATCACTCGGGTGGGACTCGAACCGACGACCACCTGCTTTCTAGTGCAGATGTCTTACCACTACACTGTACATAGCAGCGGGTACGCAATAACTATTCAGTGCTAGAATCCTTGCATTTTGGGGACTGTTTTCTTATTATATCACCAAATTTTGCGATTTGATGCCCTTTTAGCACCCGGCAATAAATCGGGGGTTCAACATTTAAAAACTTCGATAGGTGTAGCCATACTTTTGTAAAAAAAACCAAACAAACAAACACGAGCAAAATAGACTAGCAGAACTCGCAGGAGAAACAAAGACATTTTATCATGAAATGTAGATTTGTAAAGATTCGCCCGTGTCGTTTTCTTCATCGTAGAATTTTAACCCCCAAAAATATTTTGAAATGTTCTCCGACATTTACTTAAAGGGAATATACAACATTTGCAAACATCGAAACATAAAACTACAAAGTTTTTACGAAATACCTTACTAGGATGTTGGTAAATGACAGTCTCAAGCATCTTGTAAATTTATGGCACCTGGTGTGAAGTCATTTTCAAGAAAATGGTATTTTTGTATACATGGTCGGCCGACCAGCGTTGGAAAAACCTAACTATTTTTCAACTATTGCTCCAAATTTACCATTTTTTCAGTCCAAATTTTGTTTGCTATTGGTGGTGCAGGCCAGCTAGACTGGTTCCCTTGCCTTACAATTTTCCATCCTCTATAAATTGATTCATTTTATCTTTTGTGGAGTCAGGGAACCAGACTACTTGAACATTTTTTCCCCCAACCTTTTCGAATACAAAACTTCAAAAATGTCAGCTTAACAATATTTGATCTATTATACTAACCCCTCAAATAGTTCATTTCTGAAAATTACAGCAAAAGCCAATGATGTACATTCCCTTTAAAATCAAAGACATCATAGGATCGTATATAGGAGCGTTTAGTTTTTGCCCTTAGTTTGTTCGTTTCCAATAATAACTCCCAAACTCCAAAGAATAAAGTTCAAAACCTAACCTGTTGAAGTTTCAGCTCAGTGGACATTTAGGCTTATATACTTTTCGAGAAAACAGTGGGGGGAATTAAAATGCATAACTGGAACCTTTTGATCACGAAAGACGATTTCAATAGAAATCTTTATCCCCAAACCCTTACGGCGTGGGGTAGTGGACTCTCTAGATGCTCTGTGTGCGATCGGAGGCAATTTCTTACCACTTTAACCATTTTTGTTTAAAGCAAAAGATCACCCTTTTAACATCCTTTTCGAGTTTGGAGTCGTTGAATCAATATTTCTGAGCTATAGAATCATAATTATGTAGGCTACATTTCGGGGACCGGACAAACGATATGATATTCCCACTTTAAAAAGTGGGGGGGGGGGGGCCTCGATTGTCGCCCGCGATCCAAATAAGCTTTTTGATAGCAATTCGGTAGGGTACTTTGGGATAAATGCAAATGATGCCTTTGTATCTCAAGAGGAAAAAAACATTAAAAAAAAGGAAAACATGCATCTCGTTTCGTCCCAAGGATTGGCGGCCGAGGCATGATCAACGTGCAGCTGACAGTGAAGGAAACATTTGAGTTCCTCACACAGGAGCAACGAAGTTCACCCAAGACTGACAAAAATAGAGCTGCCTTTACCACTGAATCAGTTTATTCAGTTACATTAACTGTATACATTTGTTTAAACCCAAGCGGTCCTTGTCAGGGCCAACACATTTTCCTAAAAGATAAAGAATCTTCTGGATCCCCCCTCACAGCTGCCTACATGTTCTTTTTTCTCTCAAGGGTTTTTGACGTCTTTCTTCACGTAAGGATTCCCTTCCACAATTTAGTGAAAGTTCTTTGGCAAATAATAGTTTCCCTCTAGTGCCAAGTATTGGTTTTTATGTGCCTGTTGATCTGCTTGCGACTGTGCATGACACTATAACTTCAATAAAATAGAGGAAATGGTAGATATGATTATACTTCCAATAGTTACTACTTCAGAGGCACAAGATCAACATAAAAAAAAACAGACAAAATTAATATTATTATTATTTATTCAACCCAAACAACATAAAGTTACAAAGTGAAATTACATGAGAAAACATAAAAACGTAAACACTCAGGATTAATAAATATTTCGATACTTTTCTGGATTCAAAAATATTGCAGGATTAACTAAATAGAACCACTGAAAACAAAACAAGCGTACAAATGAACACACATTTAAAACATAATATGCAATCAAACAAAGAACTCTAAGAACTAACTCATTAATAAGATACAATTAATTAAGAATTAGTAATAATTGATAATTAATAAGACTGAAATAAGAGGAAAATTAGTTATTACCGGTTTAGATAAAAAAAAAATCCTGAATGTACCACATTCGTATTTTAATATAGGTTTTCCCGGCTATTTTAAAACATTATTTACACAAATTCACCAACTTTAACATTCAATTTCGTCCGAGAAAAATTTCACACGCTTTTAACAAAACCAATGAAGTCATTTACTATTCAATTTCAAAGTTTAGTCACCCTCTTTGGTCACCGGGTCGAGAATATTCGTCATTACACATCAAATTTGCATAAGCTGTTGCCGAATGGCAGCATTCAGAGATCGAATTCGTCTGATATAAATCAATTAGACGAATTTGAATTCTGAATAACAAGGTTTGGCGTGGACAAGACGAAATCGAAAGTGTGCTCATTGTTTGAATTTGTTTGAACTAAATTTAAAATTGTCTGACAAAAGACGAAATTAAACATTGGAAGTGCACTAAATCGATGTTGACTGACAAATTTGAATATTAGAAACGGTGAATTCGAATGATAAACGTTTTAAAATAGCCGGGAAAACTTATAGACAAATTTGCCATTTTTTTTTTAATAAGGTATGAGATTAAGTATAATTAATGTCTTCATTCAAATAAAAAGAAAAACCCAGAAGTTTCCTCTATCTTATCAACTATTGCCATTGATTTTGAATAATGACCAATTTTAACATTTCAAGTGTAGATTGGCTAAAGAATGCCATGGTCCTGTGGTTACAGTGTTTGAACCCTGCCAGGAACATGGTGTTTGGGCAGGACACTTTACTACAATTGCCTCTCTCCACCCAGGAGTACAAATCAGTATAAAGACAACATTTATTGGCACAGTCTTGTCTATCATATGACTTGAGACACTAGTAAACGGCACTTTTATGTCAAAAAGCAAAATGTTAAAGATTCAAAACGAAAATATAATTTGAGGCAACAACACAGATATACCATGTAACATATTCTGTTGGCAGAGTTGTATAGTCCTAATTTTGTGACTTGAGCTGAGTCGAGTTATTTCAAAGTAGTGACTTGAGTTGAATCTAGTAATTTTAAAGAAGTGACTTGAGTCGAGTCGAGTCATCAGGTTGAAAATTTCAAAATGAAACTTGAAACGAAGAACAATAATCTGAGGTGTAGTCTACGTGGATCAAAAAGAATAGAAAACACAGAAAGTAAAAGGCAACAAGATCATCGCATCATGAACATGATGAACCATTTCCACATTAGAAAAAATGTGCATGATTGATTTTCCTTGAAATCAGTTAAATTTGTTTTTGATATGCCTTTATTTGAACACAAATCATTTCAAAAGTTTTTTGAAAATCAAACCAATAATTACCAGGGATAAACTTCAGATTCCAAGCTTTAAAATTATATACCAATTATGGCGGTACATGTTTCTACAGTGATGCTAGAGCCTTGCAAAAATATGTTGTGGGCATTTTGGGACGCACTGTAGTTTAGTAAATCACAAGTCCATCACAAGCAACGTCACAAGCTATTCAAACGAAATCTAAGAAAAACATTCCTTTTTCACTGTCTATGCTTGCGACTGGGCTTGTGTGATGGACTGGTGACAGACTCGACTTCGACACCAGTGAGAGTGCTCAACCTACCTATAGTCTGTTCCTATCATCCTGAAGGTATCAATTACTTGCGGTAGTTCATACTCCACCACAGCCGGCAGTTGCCCATCGCCGACGCCATCGCGATAGATGATGACTCTCTCGGGCAACTTACCGTTGATTTCTTGAAACTTCCTCAATGCACCTAAATGAAAAAATATACATACATGCAGGGAAATGACCAGCAGCGTAACCAGGAGAGGGCAGAGTGGCAGATTGCAATAGACCTTTATCATGCTGCCACCATTTCAGTCATGTCCCTTGCATCCAATAACACTACTGAATAAAAATGTTTTTGTGCAAAAAGGAACCAGCCTATTTTTCCTTCCAGCCTCGCTTCAGTTGTGTTGATTTGAATGGGAAAAAAATCAAGATAGCCGCAACATGATAATGGTGTATAGCATGGAGATTTAAAAAGCGAAATTGGGAAGCTGATAGAAGCAAAATCAGGAAGGAAAAAATTAAGCTATTTTACACTAACTGTCCCTCAAAGCATGTGTGCTCCATCATATACTTACTTGTCATGCAGACTTTGAGACCATCAATGAGCTCCTGTCCTGTGTGCTGGAATGTACATCGTGAAAAGTACCTGTAAACACAATAACATGGTGAGCGACAGTGGATATTCTATAAGGTACATAGGATCATTTTTTGTGTGCAACTTTTTTTCATTTGAAGAAAAAAAGATTAAAATATTAAAGAAAGGTGCATAACAACAAAAACTGTTCAAGTTTTCAGCTCAGTGGATACTATACATTTTGAGAAAACGGAGAAAATGTATGCACAATTTGTTGGGGTCTAGTAACTGGATTCACCTTGCACTTTCAAACACTTTTTTCTTTAGAATGACACAATTTCATGCAGAATTATTTCACAGGGTAAAGATGCGTCAAGTGACGCATTTTTGGAAGTTTCCGTTAGTAGTTGGTTTGTAATTCGGCAAATTTTGGATTGTATCAAGCTTATCCACAAGAAGTACGGAATTGGGATGTGATTCAGAAGAACTACTGTTGATATCTACTTTCTGCTAGCGACAATGTCCATGCTATAAGTGATGTTGTCTGCTACTCATGTGTACAGCTGCAACAACGGACAACTGCGAGGCTCAAGTTACTAAAGCTGTGCAGCCTAATTGGCTAAATACTGCACAGTGGTTTAAAACCATATGTGACCCAGACAACAGTATATTCCAGGACAATAAATGGTCAAATGTCCTATAAAATACATCAAGCATGTTTAAATACCATCTCTGGGTACAGAAAACTAGGCAGGGAATTATCTAAAAACCTAACTCACCGAAATTTAAAAAAAAATAGGAGCTTAATTTCAAAGAGGGCGCTACTTATCAATGGCGTCCTCTTGCGACGATTTTTGCATTAATGTTTATTACAGGCCTGTCGCTTCTCACCGTACCGGCACGGAAGCCAAACATTCTTTGTTGTTGTTAATTTTGGATTTACTATTCTAAATAAAGATTAAACCAGCTTGCAAATGCAAGATTTCATGGTGATTATTATTATTACTTTTTTAGATAATATACTTCCTGTGATAATGCCATATATTTGCAAAATGTTATGATTAATCTTACTACTATTTTCTGTTGTATTTTTACCGGCCCAAAATGGTACTCTTAAGTGGTGCAGCCGGTATTTGTTCCTTCTAGCTAAGAGAAAACCTGTATTTCTTGAGTTTTATTTGTAAAAAACAGATAAAATCATATGTTGGGCCACTTCTCTCACAAAAAAATGGCTTTTCTCAATTCATTTCATATCGGGCCCAAATATTGCGCACGTTCTGCTGATGCTGGTGTGGTCCCACTTCATCTAGAGGATTAATTCCCGGGCGATCAAGCTCAGCTTTGGGAACCTCAGCTTGAGCCCCCTCCTGACATAATTGTCAAATTCATAGCCTCCGCAACAGTAATTGATTAAAAGTCGAGCATTTTTTTCTTCAGACAGCTCCGTTTTTCAAAAATAGCAAACTGTTCATTAAAGAAAATGTGCTACAGTTTATGAGAAAGTATACATGTAGCTGTGGCTCATATCTAATTCTCCGTAAGCTTTCTTAATCGCTTAGAAATGTTTAGTTAAATATGTAACCTTCTCCTGTGTCGGTTGAAGTCTATTATAAGTTCTTATGTAATCCGGCCTGTTGTTCCGTCAGACCCGTCTTCTCTTTAGATATTTATTCAATATCCCATTTAGAGGGTGGCGTATTTGATTGTCCAACTTGTCCATTTCAGAAAAAAAAATATTGTGAGACCATGCACAATCGAAAAAAAAAAGGAACGGACGGCCATCGATGTCAAAAAAAATATTCTAAGAAATATTAAGATCTTTATTTTCAATTAAGCCTGAAGAAATCTGGCAGTTTACATCACAATGGTGTACTTACCTGCTAAGGTCGTGATTCATGGAAGCGACAAAGCCACCGACAGAGCGCCCTCTAGTGGCGGAGTCGTGATAAGAGTCGATTCCTACCACCATCATCAACATTTTGGACTGAAAGTAATAAATGGGAAGACAAACGGAAAGACAAAGCTATTTAACTTTTGTAGAACACCAATTCATTGTATTGCAAGCATGCATCGATACATGAATTCACTGGAACTTGTGAATAAACTCAAAAACTGTAATAGGGTGCATGTAAAACTATTTGCACAAAGCAACTAACTTACAAAAAGTGAAACATTTACATAAAATGTAAAGGAATTCTCCAACTCTTTATTTGGCTGATTAGATTGAGACATTTTCACAATAATGTGGGGGCACGTAACCTCCATCCACACACCGGCTGCCCGGATACAGGGCTATATTTAGATTGACCTATGTTGTTGTTGACGCGTGACCTATGCAAATGTAGCACTTGTTAACTCAATGTCCTTTCACTCTTGAAACAAGTAGGTCCATAGTTTTAGAGGGTTTCTTCTACATTTTCTTATTATAATTGTATAAGAATGACAATAATGTGTAAGTGGAAGTTCCTTTGAGTATATTATGTCATTTACGGGTGTAAATAATCCGTAACAGCATTTTGTTGAGGGTGCAATAATATTTTAGAGACACTTGGTGATGTGTCCGCATCGTGCGGGAGCGCGCGAAACAGGCACTGCTTGTCTTCCAACTTTTGGACGGCAGTCACTTATTTTGTAGCCGGGATTTTCTCGGTGAGAATTCACCTTTCCTTTGCTGTTTGCCAGCATAATCATGTGCTGAGTGGGAAGGTGGGCGCCTCTGGAACCTGTGGTGAGTGTCCTTTTTATCATAACTTTGCGGGAAACTTGCGTTTTTGTGACACTTTCACTCACGAACTTTCCACTTTTGCAGCGTCGTCGCCATAGCTACAGTCGTGCATATTCCCACACACACCCACGTTGTACTTGTATGCTCAGCGCACAGCGTCTGAACTCGCGTCGTGTGTGTGTGACCTTTGACCGCCATTGTGTGTACACATTCACCATGTATTTTGACCACAGTGTTGTCTTGTTTATTTGTCCGTAGGCAATATGTAGGCGCGGTCTACTGTGAGACCTTCATTTATTGCACCTGGGGATCTTTACTATACAGGATCTTTACTATACAGGATCTTTACTATACAGGATCTTTTGCCTGGTGATCTGTCTTTGCATCGTGACCGGGATCCACACACATAGCACATATACTGGGGAAGTTTTGGGATCAACATCTGTTCATCATATTCATCAACTGCAACTGATCTAATTAACTCATTGTTATTCTACTGATTTGCTGATGATTGAATAAATTCTCTATTAATCGCTGAAATTGAACTGAACTGGTGATTTCGTGTGATTCCATCTGGGGCAGCCTCCAACACACTTATCCTGATTTAGTTTGGGATCAAACTCCCTCATCATGCTGTGACACCGCAGTATTCAAATCACTTCAATAAGATAAAGATTTACAGTAGCACTATGCGACAAATCTCTTTATGAGTTTGTGAGGTTCTGAAAAGAACCAGGGAGAAACTCAACGTTTTCATTCATTCATTACTTTTACTGCAGTAGAGAAAATAAGAGTTTTTCTCCCTTCGATACAACGTTTTAGCAGGACGATTTTGAGGTCGTCAGAAAATCCTTGCGCTGGATGTCTGCTTGGCAGAACTTGTCTAGGGTCAAGCCCGTCTGTGAGAGAACTTGCTGTTGTGAAGCCCGACAATCCCATTTTTTTGTACTTGTCATCAGTGAGCAACAGCCATTTTTGTGCGGACTAAGTGTGCCATGTACTTCACTTGAAGTCCCTGGACAAACTCTGATAAAGGCCGTGTCTTGCAAATGTCATAGATGGCTTCGTGACTTGATCACAGTTAGTTTAAGTAAGATTTGAGGCTTTGCATGGTGGAGATACTAAATAATGAAAGGTTTGCGGAAACACCATGTGCGAATAATTTCTCAACTAAGAGAATGGTTCTGAAAAGAACCAGAGGTATAAACTCTGGTTCTTTTCAGAACCATTCTCTTAGTTGAAAAATTAGTTGAGAAATTATTTGCACATGGTGTTTCCGCACACCTTTCATTACACAGTTAGTTTGTTTTTCCAGAGTACACACATCCTAGTGTGTCACAGAAATTAGACTGGCCACTGATAACTTTTATGTAATGATAGCAAGGCCATAGTCTGGGAATATGACTCAAAAATCATCTTTTGAACTTGAAACTTAAAGTAGCACATGTATTACATGTACATTGTAAAGCTGTGTGTGTATTCCAGCAGCTCGCCCAGGTCGACTCGGGTAAAGTCACACAGGTTAGCCATGAAAGCAGGGCTAATCGAACGCTCAAACGCGAGCCATCACGATCCTCATGTGACGTCTGTAGCCGTGGCCATAGCCATTGACAAAACGCCCTTTTCGGACCGAGTATTACCATTCCTTTCCACATGGCCTTACTTTGAGATTTACGCTTTTCCGTCAATTGCAAAAAGTAACAAAATCAGGCCGGAATTAGCGGCCTCTAAAGTCGCACTGAACTCAAATAAAATTATTATGTTCAGACTTCAAATAAAGTTGATTTCAGGGTCCATCTTTATGGCTGTCCGGCTGCCTTATTTGTTCATGTCTAGGATTGAACAACGCATGCGTGTGACGTATTTCCACCACTGACTCCACTCCACGAGCAGGATCTGTGGTGGCTGACCCGGATGAGGCCTGAGAATGATATCAGAGCTAATCAAACGGCACAGGGCTATAACCCGAGTCGCCCCGGGTGAGCTAATCAAATGCACCCAATAGTAATACTCCTTGTTGAAGCCTTTAAACTGTAAAGCACTGGGGCGGTACAAGGAGTAACAGGCAGGGCACTTTGGGGTGGTACTTGGCCTAATGGCTTAAGGTGGTATTGACTCATGGCTGAGCCTGCCACAAACAATAACAAATGTTTGCCAACGTTAGCCAAAAATTCTCATTTGGATACAACAAAAACAACTGCCAACGTTTACGTCTTTGGGAAACAGAAACAACCTTGTTTAGAATTTCAAGCTAAAAACTATCAATTTTCTGGACATGATTTTAAAAAAATGAAAAAATAACAAGTGCACAGCTCATACATATACATGAGATTGAATAGTATTGCACAACTTACTGGAATTAAAACTGTCCACAACTCTCCGCCCATCTTGCAGTTAATTTGCATAGCAATCTTGGTAGCTACGGACATGACGGTCTGTTTCTTGTTGATAGTGCGACCCACAATGCACTGGCTGGGTACCGGGGCCTCTAGACAGCAGAACTTCTTGATGGCGTCGTAGCGATCCTTACGAATAGTTGGTAGGATACACACAACCTGGGTAACGATGGAACAAAAATATGAACAAAATTCTGAATACTACTGGTAAAAGTGCTTATTAGGCTTTGTGAAAGTAAGGCAATGAGGCGACTGAGCCTGCAAGTTCACTTCAAAAAACAGCTTCCGATGACATTTGATGGGAATACTAGCCTTGATCATGACCAAGTCTGTCTACTTGTTCCCGTAACAAGCAGCCGCTACATATTAGCCTGATTTGCGTACCCATTGTACTGTACATGTGAATTGCCACAACACTGCACCGTGCACAGTAGCCTCAACGATCCCCTTGCTTATCTGCATGCTTACGCCCCACACACATATCTAACTTTTCCCCAACAGTCGAGGCAAAAGACAGCCTTGACGAAAAATATATGCTCACTATTATAAGTAGTTCAGGCTATGGTAAACAGTCTCTCTCAGGGAACAAGTAGACAGACTTGGTCAAGGCTATGGGAGTACAGGCTTTCAAGTCATAATTGAGAAGGCAGCCTTTAATCACACTCACCATCTGTGTCTGGGGACTCAAGTTCTGTCGGATGGCACGGATGAAGCTTTCAGTGCGGTCATCACGTAACTCGCATCTAAAGAACACCAAACAAATAATGAAAGAGAGAGTAAAAGGAAAACAAATAAATTCTGCACTTCAAAGCCCTTCAAGATTGGCAAAACCACTTTAGCCAATCAAGTTTGCATCCACACTTCAAAATATTTTGAGGCAATCTTCTGTGGAGTACGGAAACACTTCAAATCCCTGCACAATGTTTTGGTGTCGTTAAGATTGTTGTGCCCATTCTTGAAAATCACGCATTCTCGAGAATGGGCATGCACATTCTTGAGAATGTGCAACTGGATCCTTGCTCAATCTTGGCAAAAAATAACTCTTCCAGATTGAGCGCACATTCTCGAGAATGCGTGACAAGATAACGGTCTTGTCGATGCCGAGCACCGGCTGCGCTTGGCAAGTCTAGCTGAATCCTCGTTCACTGATTCTCAATAATTATACTGTTGCAACGCAAGGCGCTGAAAAGTAGAGTGGATATGATAAGTAAAGGCGTATTAATATGGGGGGGGGGGGGACCGGGAAAATATAAGAGACATAATAATACTAGTGCAGAGAATTCTGATTTTTGGAATAATAAAAGCGGGGGGGGGGAACGTAAAAATGAAGAATGTGAAGAATGAGAATGAATACTGCGACATCCCATAGTGCTAATGCTATTTCCCATTTAAATTGCCACCAATTTATTGTTCACATCCCACCATAACGTCGCAGAGCTGGATTCTATCTAGTCAAAAGAGCAATTTTGGCAGCTTCTGGACATCGTTTTTTTTCGTGGCACGCATATGATACATGCAGGGACTTGTAACTTGTCTAGCCTAAACAAAGCACTTCCCAGACTAGTTCCCAGTCCTCCGTTATTACAAAACTTCCCATAGTGGGCAGAAAAAAGCAATAATAACAGGTTTAATTTGATTCAAATTATCGTAGTTGTACGAGTACAGAAGCATAGCACATTTTCTTTCCTCTTTGTATGAATTGTTTCCCTTTTAACCGCTATACAATTCATTTAACATAATTATGTCGTGCAATGTTTGTTAAGATTGGGCAAAATTCATAAATTGTGCACGTGATATTCCCACCCAATCTTAAGAATGAGCGCTCATTCTTAAGAACGCGTGCTCGTTCTTAAGAATGGGCGCTCATTCTTAAGAATGCGCGCCCATTCTCGAGAATGTGCATGCCCATTCTCGAGAATGCGTGATTTTCAAGAATGGGCACAACAAGATCATGGCAAGCAGGCAGATTCATTCATGCTTCACTGCTCTCCACAGTGCAGTTTTTTGCAACTTGAGACTCGGACTCGGACTCGACCAAATTGCTTTCAAACCTGGACTCAGACTCGACCCAATTGCTTCCAAACTTGGACTCAGACTCGTTCCAATTGCTTCCAAACTTGGACTCAGACTCAACCCATTTGCTTCCAAACCTGGACTCAGTCTTGACCCAACTGCTTCCAAACTTGGACTCAGACTCGACCCAACTGCTTCCAAACCTTGACTCAGACTCGACCCAGTTGCTTCCAGCTTGGACTCCAGACTCGACCCCATCACTTCAAAACTTGGACTCGGACTCGACCTAACTGCTTCCAAATTTGGACTCAGACTCGACCCAATTGCTTCCAAACTTGGACTCAGACTCGACCCTATTGCTTTCAAACTTGGACTCAGACTCGACCCAATTACTTCCACACATGGACTCAAACTCGACCCAATTGCTTCCAAACTTGGACTCAGACTCGACCCAATTGCTTTTAAACTTAGACTCAGACTCAACTCAATTGCCTCAACACCTGGAGTTGGGCTCGACTCAAATAACCCAACTAACTATCTTGTAAGCAGTCTTACATTAAGGGTGGTCTGGTTTCCATTCCCAAACGCGGTGCCACTGTGTTGAAGGCGTTCAGGAATTCCATGGCGTTCTTGCTATCACGCGCTGTGTAGATCAGCAGCCAGTTGTGCAGACCAATACAGCTCAGCAGATCCTTCCGCAGATCTCTGCTCCACTCTGCATTCTCCCCCAAGGAAATCTCCTGTTGATGTTTAAAGGCATATAGGATTATTTTCTTATAGGATTATTTTCTTTTCATGCATTTTGTTCAAAATTCCAAAGAAGAATATCCAAAATTTAAGCTGTTGAAGTTTCAGCTGTGGATATTACACTTTACAAGAAAAGAGTGAAAAACCATGCACAACCTTTTGATAATGAAACACTATTTCGTCAATAGATCTCTTTATTTTCCAAAAAATCAGTCAATCGACTGATCCTTAGAAATCACCTACATTTCTTGATTTTTTCTAAATGACAGCAAGCCAGACAAAACAATTTTACAGATTGTTTAGTACCAGTACAATCTTTAATCCAAGTAAGCATTTCAATGATAATTCAGAAGGTTACTTTTGAGACAAATGCAAATAATCCTCTGTGCCTTTAAAGGGACACTAGGTCCTGGAACAGCCCAATTGGGCTACAAAACGTGCTTTGAACGAGATGATGTTAATCCGAAAGAACCTTAAAAAGTAGGATATATAAACATCCACACCACTATCCTTTCAAAACTGTTATTCCTGCGTGCAAGAACGAAATTCGGGGTCCACTTTTGCTACCCCATAAATTGAGCTATTTGGATGCTAGTTGTGATTTCATACGTAAAGTGTTTCCCTTTTGCGGACGTTAAAGAAACGTCATTTTTTTTTACTTTGGTGATTGGTCAATGCTGTTCCCGAGACACACAACGTGTATATCATATACTGAGAACGACACGAAAAACATATTCGTACTCCGTTGTGTGCGATGTAAACAACTGGGGATTTTTCCTCTTTTCTCGGCAACGGTAATAGTCAGGTGGCATATGGTCGGAATCGTGACTGACTGGTCCAAAGCACCAAACTTGGCAGATAGATTCTTGTAGCCCTAGAGAAGATATTTAGAAGGGGTGACACCTGAAATTCTTTTAGGAAGGGTGCTTAATTTGCATAAATCGTTAATCCCTGCCGTGTAATATATTTATTCCAATATTTGGGTATATTTTTATTTTTTTATTTTTTTAAAAAGTGTATTTTGGTGATTCTACTTGCATATTCTTACTTCAATAACATTTTGTAAAACATATAAGTGACTGAATAATTAGGAGGACATAGTAAAGAACCAAAATTGCTACTATTTTACCCTAAAGTTACGCGCATTTACCTTTTCCTCATATATCAACTAGTCTTGCCAAACATGGGTATTGATGAGCTTCAAATTAACAAAGTTACTTACTGGCATAGTTACCCTAACAAAAATAAGTGGGAAATCAAGTGAAAATTGATAACATCTTGATGTTTAGCCCAAAAGACCAAAAAAGGGGAGAAAATGTGGTGTCCGTAAATTGGGCTAGTACGGGAAGGGTAACGTGGGGACTTAAACAAGTTCAACAAAATCCCCCTAAATAAGAGATTATTGTTGTTTACAATAATTTTGTCTACGCCAAAACGTTTTCTCAACAATAATTAGGGGAATTTCCTTGAACTTGTTCCAGTGTTCCATGTTAGGCAACCCTTCACCTACTTGTTAGCCTAATTTATGGACACCTCGTTTTTTCCCAGTTTTTGTTTTCTGGGCTTAATATCACAATGTTATCATTGTTCACATGATTTTGCATAAGGTTTTAATAGGGTAGCTGTACCAGTAAGCTACTCGGTGAATTTGAAGTTCATCAATGCTAATGTTTGGCAAGACTAATTGATGATATCTGCGCGCAATTTTAGGGCATAATAGTAGCCATTTTTTATCGTTACTATGTCCTCATAATTATTCAGTCACTTATATGCTTTGGAAAATGTTATTTAAGTAAAGATATGTAAGTAGAATCCCCAAAATACACTTTTCAAAAAAATAAAAAAATAGAAATATACCCAAATATGGGAATAAATATATTACACGACAGGGATTAACGATTTATGCAAATTAGGCACCCTTCCCAAAAGAATTTCAGGTGTCACCCCTTTTAAATATCTTCTCTAGGTCTATAAGAATATATCTGCCAAGTTTGGTGCTTTGGACCAGTCGGTCACGATCTTGACGAAAATTAGATCTAAGCCACCTGACTATAAGACATTAGGTTGGTTTCCTTTCAACCAGATGTTTGAAATAGGCTAAGTAAGCAATCCAAAACATGAAATTTTGGGGGATTTCAGGTACTAGTTCCCCTTTTAAGAAGCGCTGACAACGATCATTTATAAGCAAACAAAACATAGTACTGATTTCACAAATCTCATTATTCCAATGCCTGTTCTTTTTCTTTTCAAACACTTTCAGGATTTTTGCCAACTACCCAGGAAAGTTTCTACCGAATTAATGTCAGTTCAACCTTGCTCAAAGTGAAGAAAGGACTGGTATCACATATCCTGAGAAATTATTCCACCTAAAGAGGAAAAGTAACATTCAAAGTGTTTTCAAAATATAGTTATGGACACACACATATTTACGAGTGTTAGCAACAGAATCTGGTTACAAGATACAATAACTTGCACATACATTTTCTGTTTTCTCAAAATGTACAGGGTGAATAAAAAAAAACCCAAACCCAAATGTCGGCACCATTGTTCTAGTGAAGTTCTCTATGTAGCACTTCCAAAATCTAGGATATGAAAAGGTTGTGTTTAAAATTCCGTAACTTCAAAAGTACATGAGTGATTTGAATGATTCTTGTACTCAAAGAAAGCTTATGAATTGGGCTTTCAAATGCTAGATGTTGGAAGTGCACATGCAGAACTTCCCAAAAACAGACGTCCCGACATTTGGGTTTCACTTTTTTTTACCCACCCTGTATTTTATCCACTGAGCTGAAACTTCAACAGGTTAGTTTTTAGGCACCCTTCTTTAATATGAACAATTTTGTTGCTCCAAGGAAAAAAAAAAGGAAATAGAAAGTATCCAACAAACCTTTCTAGCCAATTTCACGACAAACGTTTCGTGTCGTCAAATTCACTTCGCATTCACTAAAACTACATGTAACTTATAAACTGGTCTTCACCTCGACATCCCAATCTCTTTGTCAGACTCACATTCTTTCCCTGGTGACCGGTGAGGATTTTCTCCCGATCCATGATGCGAGCGTTGATCCTGACTGGCTGAGCTTCAAAGCTCACCTGCCACTTTTGCAGGTAAGTATTCGCCTCTTGATTCCTGAAAGAAGGTTAAGAACACAGGTCACAAATCATTATTTTCTAGGTCAGCCTGGGCCCGAATAAAATATTTTGTGATTGTGGCATTCATGTTTACCATTGGCAAGCTATGTTTTCAATTACCAGCAAAGGTCCAGTCTATGCACTGAGTATACAGTGTTTATACATCGGTGAAGGGCAAAACCTATTATTAAAAGTACACTATGTAAAGCATACACATTATTATGTTTCATGTCACCAGTATTGTGGTTGAGTCACTTCAGGGTCGAGTCCGAGTCGGAGACTTAAGTCAATGGACCGATCCAGTAAGCACCGCCCCATGGTATTCTGACCAATCACAGCCTTGATTTATGTCCGACGTGCATGCACAAAAGTCCGTCATGCGTGCACGCGCGTATGATGCGCGCGGAAGGAAAATGCAGCGTGGCATTGGAGAGGAGCACGTGTTAATTTGCCCATGTGCGCAGTGGGAGGGGCTTACTGGATCGGTTCATTGGGTCGTGGCTGAGTCCAAATCCAAGTCCAAGCGACGAGTCATTTGATTCTAGTTCGAGTCTGAGTAACATTTATATAAAATGGATGAAATATCTATGGATCTATGTAGCGGAAGAAAGCGATTGGGTCAAGTAGACATGATCACCATGGAGTCCAACCCTCGAGTTGGGGGGCGGACTATAAACAGATGGATGATGGATGGATGTGAATCAGGATGGACTCACTTAAAGTGATATGTAATATATGAGATGTCGCAGGATATAGGGAGGGGTGCATTTAATGACAAACTGTCATCATTGACAACACCACCTGGAGTGAGGTGTGGTGCATTTCATGTGCTTGACGTTCTTTAGTGATACTGAAATGTTACTTAGGGGGGGGGGGGGAAGAAATATGCTTAAATGGTTTGTTTTTGGTGAAAATAAATATATGATTCACTGCTCAGGAGTCCCAAGTCATTAGTGTCAAATCGGAGTCATGATGGCCGAGTCTGAATCCAAGCCCAAGTCTTTGCCTATGTGACTCGAGTCGAGTCAGAGTCAACAAAATTGCGACTCGAGACAGACTTGAATCCGAGTCCTGGGCTCCAGTTCTACATCACTGGATGTCACTGAGTTTAAATCAATACACTCACACGCTGGGCAGGTTATTTTTGTGTAAAGTGCTGGCTCACTGTTAAAATGGTGCACAAAAGTTTGGCTGAATGTAGATTACCATCAATTGTTATTTAACAAAATGTTTCTGGATGTAAGGAAAAATAAACCTTACTGACCTGGGAAAGCTGCCGATGAAGTTGGTCAGCTCTTTCATGCGGACGTTGGGCGTGATGCGAGTGTACACAGACAGGTCCTTCATGACGTGGAAATCACTGCGCATAGCTTCGCTGAGCCCCGTCAGGGTACACAGCTCAGGGATCAGGTGGATGTGATCAATCATTCCCCGGCGCTGATCCTATTACAATAAAAAAACACAAATAAATCTGCATGTGATTATGGACTGGCTCCTGGTCCTTACTTTGTGGTTGACGGGCGAGTGTTGTGTGAAATTTGAACTCTATGAAATACAGATACATTAGCATGCCTAATAGTGAAGATAATTAGGTTAGTGACAGATTTAATGTTCTATTCAACGAGGCGAAGCCGAGTTGAATGAAACACTCCATCTTTCAACGAATGAAAATATTCTCACAATTGCACGAATGCAAGACATTCATTATTTGTTTTGCATAACAACCAATTAGATCTTTGTCATTCGATTGGAGGATAAGACTTGAAGAACAAACAAAACTCACAAAAGTGCACCATATCCACTACTTTTTCCAGCTTGGTCAAGGCTAACAGAGGTTGAAAAGTCAAATCATTGACCATAATGAAAATCAATATTGTAATTTCTTAATCCAATTTAAAAAAAAACCCATCTATGCAACTGCATCAACTTCAAAGGCAAGTTTTGTACTGCCTTTATGCATGATAATGGTTTAAATAGTGCGAAGATTGTATAGTGTCGGGCCGCTGCGCATCGTAGAGTGCGCGCGGCGTGCAATAGATCAAAAGAGATGGGACAAAAATGCAGGGTGAATGGAACCAAAAATGAACGGTTATGACATAGGCCGTGCAATGGTTTGTTTATTGAATGCCCCTTAACCTACAATCCTCCAATCAAATGACAAGGATGTACTTGGGTGTTATATAATGCCCTTTCAATAAGATCTGAAATAACTCACCCTTTTCTTTGGTTTGCTGACCAGCAGTGGCTGTCCTAGATCACTGATATTTAGCCCGTACGCGTCCCGGTAGTACTGGGCGTAGGTTATTTTAGTGCCGTCCAACTTGTCGAATGTGTTCATGGGATCGATATTAAAGTCGATGTCGTCCACTCGGTAGGTCTTGTTGTTGTACCTGAATGACAGCCATGCAGAATTTATTTGGTTACTTTTTTATCCAACCCCAACCTCTCTCAGTCCACTGATCTTATCAACCAGGCATGCAACTGGGAAGTCACAAAAAAGAGGAAATTGAAATCTTTCCAAGACTTTGTACAGTGTTTTTCTAGTGAAAAAAAGAGGAAATCAGCTGATCCGAAGAAAAGTTGCATGCCTGATCAACTGATCTCAACCTAACTGATCCAAACAACTGATCCAAACCCAACTGATCCAAACCAACTGATCCAAACCCAACTGATCTCAACCCAACTGATCCAAACCCAACTGATCCAAACCCAACTGATCCAAACCAACTGATCCAAACCCAACTGATCCAAACCCAACTGACCCAAACCCAACTGATCCAAACCCAACTGATCCAAACCCAACTGATCCAAACCCAACTGATCCAAACCCAACTGATCCAAACCCAACTTCTCTCAACCCAACAAATCCAAACCCAACTTCTCTCAACCCAACTGATCTCAACCCAACTGATCTCGACCCAACTGATCTCAACCCAACTGATCCAAACCAACTGATCCAAACCCAACTGATCCAAACCCAACTGATCCAAACCCAACTGATCCAAAACCAACTGATCCAAACCAACTGATCTCAACGCAACTGATCCAAACCAACGGATCCAAACCCAACTTCTCTCAACCAACTGATCCAAACCAACTGATCCAAACCCAACTGATCTCAACCCAACTGATCCAAACCAAACTGATCCAAACCAACTGATCCAAACCAACTGATCCAAACCAACTGATCCAACCAACTGACCCAAACCAACTGATCCAACCCAACTGATCCAAACCAACTGATCCAAACCCAACTGATCCAAACCCAACTGATCCAAACCCAATTGATCCAAACCAACTGATCCAAACCCAACTGATCAAAACCAACTGATCCAAACCCAACTGATCCAAACCAACTGATCCAAACCCAACTGATCCTAACCCAACTGATCCAAACCCAACTGATCCAAACCCAACTGATCCAAACCCACTGATCCAAACCAACTGATCCAAACCAACTGATCCAACCGAACTGATCCAAACCAACTGATCCAAACCCAACTGATCCAAACCCAACTGATCTCAACCCAACTGATCCAAACCCAACTGATCCAAACCCAACTGATCCAACCCAACTGATCCAAACCCAACTGATCCAAACCCAACTGATCCAAACCAACTGATCCAACCGAACTGATCCAAACCAACTGATCCAAACCAACTAATCCAAACCCAACTGATCTCAACCCAACTGATCCAAACCCAACTGATCCAAACCCAACTGATCCAACCCAACTGATCCAAACCCAACTGATCCAAACCAACTGATCCAAACCCAACTAATCCAAACCAACTGATCCAAACCCAACTGATCCAAACCCAACTGATCCAAACCAACTGATCCAAACCCAACTGATCCAACCCAACTGATCCAAACCAACTGATCCAAACCAACTGATCAAAACCAACTGATCCAAACCCAACTGATCCAAACCAACTGATCCAAACCCAACTGATCCTAACCCAACTGATCCAAACCCAACTGATCCAAACCCAACTGATCCAAACCCACTGATCCAAACCAACTGATCCAAACCAACTGATCCAACCGAACTGATCCAAACCAACTGATCCAAACCCAACTGATCCAAACCCAACTGATCCAAACCCAACTGATCCAAACCCAACTGATCCAAACCCAACTGATCCAAACCAACTAATCCAAACCCAACTGATCTCAACCCAACTGATCCAAACCCAACTGATCCAAACCCAACTGATCCAACCCAACTGATCCAAACCCAACTGATCCAAACCAACTGATCCAAACCCAACTTATCCAAACCAACTGATCCAAACCCAACTGATCCAAACCCAACTGATCCAAACCAACTGATCCAAACCCAACTGATCCAACCCAACTGATCCAAACCCAACTGATCCAAACCAACTGATCCAAACCCAACTGATCCAAACCCAACTGATCTCAACCCAACTGATCCAAACCAACTGATCCAAACCCAACTGATCCAAACCCAACTGATCTCAACCCAACTGAACCAAACCCAACTGATCCAAACCCAACTGATCCAAACCAACTAATCCAAACCCAACTGATCTCAACCCAACTGATCTCAACCCAACTGATCCAAACCAACTGATCCAAACCCAACTGATCCAAACCAACTGATCCAAACCCAACTGATCCAAACCCAACTGATCCAAACCCAATTGATCCAAACCAACTGATCCAAACCCAACTGATCAAAACCAACTGATCCAAACCCAACTGATCCAAACCAACTGATCCAAACCCAACTGATCCTAACCCAACTGATCCAAACCCAACTGATCCAAACCCAACTGATCCAAACCCACTGATCCAAACCAACTGATCCAAACCAACTGATCCAACCGAACTGATCCAAACCAACTGATCCAAACCCAACTGATCCAAACCCAACTGATCCAAACCCAACTGATCCAAACCCAACTGATCCAAACCCAACTGATCCAAACCAACTAATCCAAACCCAACTTATCTCAACCCAACTGATCCAAACCCAACTGATCCAAACCCAACTGATCCAACCCAACTGATCCAAACCCAACTGATCCAAACCAACTGATCCAAACCCAACTAATCCAAACCAACTGATCCAAACCCAACTGATCGAAACCCAACTGATCCAAACCCACTGATCCAAACCCAACTGATCCAACCCAACTGATCCAAACCAACTGATCCAAACCCAACTGATCAAAACCAACTGATCCAAACCCAACTGATCCAAACCAACTGATCCAAACCCAACTGATCCTAACCCAACTGATCCAAACCCAACTGATCCAAACCCAACTGATCCAAACCCACTGATCCAAACCAACTGATCCAAACCAACTGATCCAACCGAACTGATCCAAACCAACTGATCCAAACCCAACTGATCCAAACCCAACTGATCCAAACCCAACTGATCCAAACCCAACTGATCCAAACCCAACTGATCCAAACCAACTAATCCAAACCCAACTGATCTCAACCCAACTGATCCAAACCCAACTGATCCAAACCCAACTGATCCAACCCAACTGATCCAAACCCAACTGATCCAAACCAACTGATCCAAACCCAACTAATCCAAACCAACTGATCCAAACCCAACTGATCCAAACCCAACTGATCCAAACCAACTGATCCAAACCCAACTGATCCAACCCAACTGATCCAAACCCAACTGATCCAAACCAACTGATCCAAACCCAACTGATCCAAACCCAACTGATCTCAACCCAACTGATCCAAACCAACTGATCCAAACCCAACTGATCCAAACCCAACTGATCTCAACCCAAATGAACCAAACCCAACTGATCCAAACCCAACTGATCCAAACCAACTAATCCAAACCCAACTGATCTCAACCCAACTGATCTCAACCCAACTGATCCAAACCAACTGATCCAAACCCAACTGATCCAAACCAACTGATCCTGATCCAAACCAACTGATCCAAACCTAACTGATCCAAACCAACTGATCCAACCCCAACTGATCCAAACCCAACTGATCCAAACCCAACTGATCCAAACCCAACTGATCCAAACCCAACTGATCCAAACCCAACTGATCTCAACCCAACTGATCCAAACCCAACTGATCCAAACCCAACTGATCCAAACCCAACTGATCTCAACCCAACTGATCCAAACCAACTGATCCAAACCAACTGATCCAAACCAACTGATCCAAACCCAACTGATCTCAACCCAACTGATCCGAACCCAACTGATCCAAACTGATCCAAACCAACTGATCCAAACCAACTGATCCAAACCAACTGATCCAACCCAACTGATCCAAACCCAACTGATCCAAACCAACTGATCCAAACCCAACTGATCTCAACCCAACTGATCCAAACCCAACTGATCCAAACCCAACTGATCCAAACCAACTGATCCAAACCCAACTGATCCAACCCAACTGATCCAAACCCAACTGATCCAAACCCAACTGATCCAAACCCAACTGATCCAAACCCAACTGATCCAAACCCAACTGATCCAAACCAACTGATCCAAA